CTGAGATGTGAGACCAGCTAGCCACCTCTAACTCGCACTTTCGCACTGCCTATACAGGGAAAAAGGCCCTCTCTATGGAAAGGCAAATTATCCTTTCACAAAAAAAAGAGCAAGCAGAAATCCAACTACGCCAGTGTTTTCTCCCCGCAATCATGTAAGATCCTTGAGACAAAAATTCAAACAAATGACAGAATTTTTTGACTACCACTCATACTTTTTGGGATCGTTAACATGGGTTCAGGAAAGGTTATCTCTGCTGGTCGTTGTTAAACCCCCATAAAGGGGGCCCCCGCCACTGGAGAATCCAAAGTCAGCTGTGTGGTACACTGGACTTGTGGCGCTTTCGACCGGGGGTGGCACCGGGGCCCCTTAGCAAAACTTCAAGCCCCTGGGAATTGAGGGTCTACCTATTCTCCTCGTGATTACCTTCAGGTAGATCTCTAAGTGTAGTTCCAATGAAACAGAAAAAACAAAACCTATTGGGGGAAGTGTTCCACAAGGAAACATCTGGGGCCATTGTTATGGAAAACTACTTCAACGACCTTCTTCATCTCACCCCGAATCCGGCATACGCAACCCGTACACTAACATTTACTTACCCCGATAAGAAATGCCACTGCCTAAGTTCATCAATCACCACTGAGAGCTATATCAGTTGGGGGAAAAAATGGCAAGTAACATTGCACCCGAGAAAACGCAAATGATGATCGTCTCTAGGGACCGGATGGTTTAAGCTGGTGCAGTAGTAAGGGAAAAAGGGGGGTTGGGACCCGGAAAGAATTTATATCCTTGGGGTGAAATTTGCTCCAAACTAACCATGAAGAACCATGTTGTAAATCTTGCAAAAAGGCACCAGGAAGCTTACAGCACTTTGCCGTATCTCCATCTGCTTGACATAGGGGTTTTAAGATCCGAAGGACAATAACTCACACCTTATATGCTCCCTTTCTTGGTTTGCCGCCCCCCCTCTCTCTGCGACGCTTGACAGAGTAGAAACGAGCAAGACGTCTCATCTCTCGCCGGACCCCCCCCTGGTAGATCTTCATTTCACAGAGCCTTCAACATAGGGGGGATGTGGGGGCCTACTGTTATGTACAAGGCCCAAAACGTGACCCCCCCCATAACGATGGGGTCGCATAGCGATTTTTCCGCATAAAGATTTCTTTTACGCAAAATTTTTGCCCCCCATACCGATTAAAAACCCGCATACCGATTTTCGTCCGAGACGCGTCCAATGTGCCCTCACATGTGCCGGCCGTCCCATTGTTTACCAGCCAGCCTCCGCGGTAACATCCAAGCATACACTCGGAATTATTCGTATTATTACAGTGTTTTCGGTGGTTTGTTTCTGGAAAATAAGTGACCAGGGGCCCCAAAAAAGCTTCTAGTGCCAACCCTGTGGTAAAAAGGGTGAGAATTAGTATGGAAATTAAGAAAGATTTTGAAGGGTTTGGGCTAACCCTGAGAAGCCTATGCCAGTTGTGGAATCCATTGTGCCTACTTCAAAGATTAAGGAAATGTGTGCAGAGTGGTTTGAACTGCAAACCTTTATAGATGAAAATCACCCTGACACAGCTGTTGCAAGCCGTGCTGGTGACTATTTCAATGACAATGTTATGGCCCATTTTAGGAAAGTCTTGAAGAAACGGGAGGTACAGAGCTCTATGGACAGATTTGTTGTGCGACAGAGGTCCAGTGACTCTGAAGCTGGTCCTAGTGGCATTAAAAGAAGAAGGGAAGTAACCCAGAAAAGGACTTGCTACCTCAAGTCCTAATGGAAGGGATTCCCTTCTAAACAGTAAGAAGATAATGCTCTCCCCTCCTCCCATCCCATCAATCATCACCAGATCTTCAATAAAAGTAAGTGTCATGTAATTGTGCATGCCTTTTTCAGTTTGTGTGTATTAAAATTAACATTTCATGTGGTAAAAAAAATTTTTTTCATACTTTTGGGCGTCTTGCACGGATTAATTTTATTTCCATTATTTCTTATGGGGAAAATTAATTCGCATAACGATTATTTCGCATAACGATGAGCCCTCTTGCACGGATTAAAATCGTTAACCGGGGGTCCACTGTACTGTCAAAATACCGCACTTGGATCCACTTCGAGGACAGCGTGAAACAAGCTTTTATGCCACAAGACGGGCAGAAAGCAGCAACTTCACTCTGGCTGTACCCTTCTCCAGAACTTCACTCCATCTGAGATCATACATACCCAGGATGACTCGAGTATGGAACACATTCGTACAGTATAATGATGTCAATGAGATAAAGTCAGTTGATCAAATGAAAATGCTGGCCCACAGATGGCTCCAACTTCATCCTGTTCCCTATTTGTATGTCTCATAACAATAAAAATGCTTTCAAATGAGCTGATGTAGGTAACAGCTCTTAGCTTGCCAATAAAGTTAGGAATCCTTAACCTGTAACTAGCTTGTCAATAAAGCTAGGGATCCTTAACCTTGTCAAACCCTGTGTAAAAAAAAAAAAAAAAAAAAAAAAAAGAGAGAGAATGAGAGAGAGAGAGAGAGAATGAGAGAATGAGAGAGAATGAGAGAGAGAATGAGAGAGAGAGAGAATGAGAGAGAATGAGAGAATGAGAGATGAGAGAATGAGAGGAGAGAGAGAGAGAGAGGGAGAGAGAAGAGAGAGAGAATGAGAGAGAAGAGATGAGAAGAGAGAGAATACGAGAGAGAATGAGAGAATGAGAGAGAATGAGAGAGAATGAGAGAATGAGAGAATGAGAGAGAATGAGAGAGAATGAGAGAATGAGAGAGAATGAGAGAGAATGAGAGAGAATGAGAGAGAATGAGAGAATGAGAGAATGAGAGAGAATGAGAGAGAGAATGAATGAATGAATTAATATGGGCATGGGAGAAGCCGATGAGCCAGAAAATCGATGGATAGTTGAATGTGGTAGATGGTTGCTATTCACAAAAACAGTGGATAACCAAAATCCTTGAATAAAGAAACCTACAAATTTGTAAGGATGACCTTGTAGCATACTGTATTTCTAAGCTATAGGTGTACTTATGTGGTTCCAAGAGTTAGGTCTTAGCTCCTGGCCCCACTCAACTTGCCACTTGCCAGATTCACTCTTCTAAGTTTCATGGGCCTTATTGTACCTGCTCTTAAAACTATGCATGGGGCCTGCCTCCACTATTTTATTGAGGTCATTCCACTTCTTGAGACTGCAAAAATATTTCCTGATATACTAGTGGCTTATGTCTTTAACTTCCAGCCGTGCCCTCCTCAAGTACCTGTTTCCCACCTCTCAAAGCAGCCAATCCCTGTCTACTCTATGAATTTCTCTTAGTATTTTGTATGTTGCTATGTCTTCTTTGGTTCTTTTGTCCTCCAATGTCAATTTTGACAGCTATTTCTCATAGCTCATACCCCTTAGCACTTATTCTCTGGAACAAGCCTAGTTGCATACCTCTGCACTTTCTCAGTTTCTTAAACATGCTTTTCCAGGTGTGGATCCCATGCTGGTGTTGCATACTCTGAGATGAGCCTGACAAATTGTATAAAGAGCCCAAAATGATTCTTTGTTGAAATTTCTGAAGACTACTCTTAAATATTGCTAGATGAGCACTTACTGTACATTATTCAGTTGATATGAGCCTTTGGCAATATGCTAGGTATTATGGTCACCCCTAGGTCTTTCTCTTTGAGCGAGGTCTACAGCCTCTGACTGGTCTTCTTGTCCTTTCCCCAATCTTCATAATCTTGCATTTGTGATTTAAGCAATAGATGTATTCTCGACCCGTGAAGCATAAGTAATTCGTGAAGACCAAACCCAATACAGTATAACATGTAAAACAAGAATTTCTTCTGAGACTTGGCCAATTCTACATTTCTTGACTAATGTTTACCAAAGAACATATGAGCTTACCAACATGCACAAAACAGTCACATACAAGAAATAATTAACTTGTCGAAAAAAAATCAATTCCAGTGTACATTATAAAATCAGGGTAAAAATTCCCCATTCCTTTATTTATTTTTACCAAAAACTTATAAGCACAGCAGACAGGTACCAAATGACCATATACTGTATCTAATATAAAAATAACTGGTCAAAAAAAGAAATGAAAACAAAAATTAAAACCAAAATTCAATCATAATTCTTGTCCCTTTTACCTGTCCTCCCTCCCATCTTCCACCCCTGAACAACCAACCTTTGTCTGGAGTGAAGTGCACATGTATTGAGCCAGTGAATGTATATCTCCCTACTACTTTCTTCCCTCCTCTAACCTCTAATCCTGGCAGTATCAGAGCAATCCAACTTTGTCTGGCTTGGTGTTCATTTCTCTTGACTTAGTGCAAGACACCCAAATTGAAAATCAACCATAGGAGTATGTTCAAAATATGCTTACTGGATTTACCATGATCAAATTTGTTTTCTTTCTATTATTTATTATAACTGTGAGTAGAAATTAGTTTAAGAGGTATTTAAGGAGATATGGTTAAAACATCAAGTGGTGCTGGGATAGAATGACCATGTAAGAGGGAATTTATACTGCATGAAGCTAATTACTGGTAGTCATGGGATCAATGTATGAAAGTGTATTTCCATGAAGCAAGACTATAAAAAGAGAGGGGAAAACCTGTACTTGCAAACTGGCTGATCAAGACTAACCATTTCCCCATTGTGCTATACAGCAGTAACTCAAGTTATAGTGAGGACATTTTTCTCTCCATTAAACTCAACATTATTATTATAATCAAAACTAAGTACAAAACTCACTAGGTCATACAGCACTGTTTAAACTCAACAAAGGCTTAATCTGTATCACAAATAAACATATCCACAGTTGTACCTCATTAAATTTGTAAACAAATACACATCCAATAGAATTTTGCCTGTTATATAATTTGGCATTAAAATCTAAAACTATTACTCTGCCACAAGAATATATGAGAGGTATCATGAAGGTGTGTAGTGGTATATAAAAATAAAATCAAGAATGGAGCACACAGCATATAAAGCCTACTTGTCAATGGTGCAGAGAGGATTGTCGAGAATCAGTTCCATCTTCACACGAGGGCCGACCAGTTCTCTGATGTTATTGATCCCATACATTATCATTGCTGGTCTGTAATGAACATAAAAAAAATTATTTTGTAGCATTCTTCATCTTCTTCTTAATTATTTTATTATTTTTTTCAATGAACTGGCCATATCCCACTGAGGCAAGTAAGTTTATTCAGGTATACACAAATACAGTTACATAGAATTATCATATACAGCATCATATGTGTAAAGTACCTAGGATAACCCAAAAAGTCAGACAGAGTGACTTATTTCCACTGGGGTGACCCAAAAAAGAAACACTTTCACCATCATTCACACATAACCACTGTCTTGCAGAGGAGCTCAGATACGACAATTTATATTTCACTCCAAACAGCCAATATCCCAAACCCCTCCTTTAAAGTGCAGGCACTGCACTTTCAACCTCCAGGATTCAAGTTCAACTAACCAGTTTCACTGAATCCCTTCACAAATTATTACTCTGTTCACACTCCAACAGCTCGTCAGGTCCCAAAAACCATTCATCTCTATCTAACATGCTCACACATGCCTGCTTCATGTCCAAGCTCCTTACACACAAAACCCCTTTTACCCCCTCCCTCCATCCTTTCCCAGGACAACCCCTACCCTTCCTCCCTCCATTACAGATTTAAACACCCTCCAATTCATCCTGTTTTGCTCCATCCTCTCTAAATGACCAAACAACCTCAATAACCCCTCTACAGCCCTTTGAATAATACTTTTAGTAACTCTACACCTCCTAATTTCCACATTACAAATTCTCCACATAATATTTACACCACACATTGCCCTTAGAAACAACATCTCCACTGCCTCCAGCTGCCTTCCCACACCCATGTAAGTGTTGGTATCACTAAACTCTCATACATTCCCTTCTTTGCCTCCATGGATAACATTTCTTTGTCTCCACAAATACCTCAATGCACCACTCACCCTTTTTCCTTCATCAGTTCTACGGTTAGCCTCATCCTTCATAAACCCATCTGCTGACAAATCTACTTCCAAATATCTGAACACATTCACTTCTTCCATACTCCCTCCCTCCAATGTGATATCCAATTCTTCTTTACCTAACTCATTTTATACCCTCATCACCTTACTCTTATCTATGTTCACTTTCAACCTCCCAAACTCATCCACTAACCTTTGCAACTTCTCTTTAGAATCTCCCAAAAGCATTGTATCATCAGCAAAAAGTAACTGTTTAAACTCCCTTTTGTATTTGATTCCCCATAATTTAATCCCACCCCTCTCCCCAACACCCTAGCATTTATTTCTTTTACAATTCCATCTATAAATATGTTGACCATGGTGACATTACACATCCTGTCTAAGGCCTACTTTTACTGGAAAGTAATGTCCCTCTCTCCTACACACCCTAACCTCAATCTCGCTATCCTCATAAAAACTCTTTACAGCATTTAGTAACTTACTACCTACTCCATACATCTGAAACATCTACTGCATTGTTCCCCTATCCACCCTCTCATATGCCTGTTTTAAATCCCTAAATGCAATGAAAACTTCCCAATCTTTATCTTGATACTCTACACTTATATGCTTCAATGTAAACACTTTATCTACACATTCCCTACCCATTCTAAAGCCTCCTTGTTCTTCAGTAAACTACTACTTTCAATGCACCGGCTGTATCCCACTGAGGTGAGGTGGCCCAAAAGGAAAAACAAAAGTTTCTCCTTTTACATTTAGTAATACAGTGGTCCCTCAACAATCGTCCGGCCTGAAAGTCGTCCATTTCGGAAATAGTCCTGTTATTTCGTCTAAACATTGGCTCGCAAATGGTCCATTAACTCACTAATAGTCCTTCGTCCAGGACGTGTACTCATGCTCTGAGCCGCCTGGGCCTTCCCTTCCCAGCCAGTGTGCCATTGTTTACCAGTGAGCGACGGTCCCCTCACTTTCTCCAACGAAATATTTCATAATATTCCATTGATTTTAGTGCTAGCAAGTGCTAAATAAGCTACCATGGCTCCAAAGAAAGCTCCTAGTGCCAAGCCTTTGGTAAAGAAGGTGAGAAATACGATTGAATTTAAGAAAAACATCATTGAACAATATGATAGTGGCGTATGTGTGGGCGAACTGGCCAGGATGTATAACAAATCCCATACAACCATATCTTCCATCATAGCCAAGAAAAAGGAAATGAAGGATGCTGTTGTTGCAAAGGGGGTAAATATGCTGACAAAAATGAGATCATCAGTACTCGAAGATGTTGAGAAGTTATTATTGGTGTGGATAAACGAGAAACAATTAGCAGGAGATGTCTTATGACGTCGCTTATTTGTGAAAAGGCTAGGCGGTTGCATGACGATTTGGTAAAGAAATTGCCTGCAACTAGTGGTGATGAGTGAATTTAAGGCCAGCAAAGGCTGGTTTGAGAGATTTAAGAAGCATACTGGCATACACAGTGTGGTAAGGCATGGTGAGGCTGCCAGGTCTGACAACAAAGCAGCTGAAAAATATGTGCAGGAATTCAAGGAGTACATAGAGAATGAAGGACTGAAACCTGAACAAGTGTTCAATTGTGACGAAACAGGCTCTTTGGAAGAAATAATGCCAAAAGAGGACCTACATTACTCAGGAAGAAAAGGCACTGCCAGGACACAAGCCTATGAAAGACAGGCTGACGCTAATGTTTTGTGCTAATGCTAGTGGGGATTTCAAAGTGAAGCCGTTACTAGTGTACCATTCTGAAAATCCCAGAGTGTTCAAGAAAAACAATGTTATGAAGAGTAATAACTGTGTGTGTTTTGGAGATCTAATAGTAAGGCATGGGTTCACGAGGGCATTTTCGTCAAGTGGTTCAATGAAGTGTTTGGCCCTAGTGTGAAGAATTACCTCCTGGAAAAGAAATTGGATCTCAAGTGCCTCCTAGTAATGGACAATGCACCTGCTCATCCTCCAAACTTGGATGACCTAATTCTGAAGGAGTTTGGGTTCATCACAGTAAAGTTCTTGCCCCCGAATACCACTCCTCTCCTCCAGCCCATGGACCAGCAAGTCATTTCAAACTTTAAAAAACTCTACACCAAAGCAATGTTTGAAAGGTGCTTTAATGTGACCTCAGACACTCACTTGACCCTAAGAGATTTTTGGAAAGAACACTTCAGTATTCTCCATTGCATAAGCCTTATAGGTAAGGCTTGGGAGGGAGTGACTACCAGGACTTTGAACTCTGCTTGGAGAAAATTGTGGCCAGGTTGTGTCCAAAGAGGGATTTTGAAGGGTTTGAGGCAGGCCCCTGATGAGCCTATGTCAGTTGTGAACTCTATTGTCGCACTGGGGAGTTCCATGGGGTTGGATGTGAGTTTGGAGGATGTGGAAGAGTTGGTGGAGGACCACAACGAAGAGCTAACCACTGAGGAGCTGCAAGAGCTTCAGCAGGAAGAGCAACAGATTGCAGCTCAGAATCTTGCTGCAGAGGAGGGAAGAGAGATGGAAGAAGGTGCCTTCTTCAGAAATTAAGGAGATTTTTGAAATGTGGAGTAGGATGGAAAGATTTATGGAGAAACATCACCCTGAGAAGGATGTTGCAAGCCATATCGGCAACTTATACAGTGACAGAGTCTTTGCCCATTTTAGGGAAGTTTTAAAGAGACGCCAGAAACAGAGCTCTCGACAGTTTTTTTGCGAGACAGGACTCCAGTGACTCTCAAGGTGGTCCTAGTGGCATTAAGAAACAGAGAAGAGAAGTAACCCCAGAAAAGCAATTGGTACCCGAGGTGTTGATGGAAGGGGATTCCCCTTCCAAACAGTAAATAATCCAATCTGTCTCCTCCAGTCTTCCATACACAAAGAAGAATTGCCAATAAAGGTAAGTGTTATTCTGTTAATGTTTCATTCATCATGTGCCACTGTATTGTTTATGTACTTCATCTATATGGGTGTCAGGAACGGATTAATTGCATTTACATTATTTCTTATGGGGAAAATTGATTCGAAAATCGTCTATTTCGATAATAGTCCCACTTCCAGGAACAGTAGAGCCACAAGTGGAGGGGGAAGCAGGAAGGCCAGGGCGAATGAAGCCAAACTGCAAGAAAGGGGACTACACGTGAATGAGGAACTTCCTGAAAGGGGTTCAGTGGGACAGAGAACTGGCAGGGAAGCCAGTTAATGAGATGATGGAATATGTAACAACAATGTGCAAGGAGGCTGTGGAGAGGTTTGTACCCAAGGGTAACATGAATAATGAAAAAGCCAGGATGAGCCCATGGTTCACCCAAAGATGCAGGGAGGCAAAAACCAAGTGTGCTAGGGAATGGAAGAAGTATAGAAGGCAAAGGACCCCAGGAGAATAAGGATAGCAGTCGTAGAGCCAGAAATGAATATGCACAGATAAGAAGGGAGGCCCAACGACAATATGAAAACGATATAGCAGCGAAAGCCAAATTTGACCCGAAGCTGTTATACAGCCATATCAGGAGGAAAACAACAGTCAAGGACCAGGTAATCAGGCTAAGGAAGGAAGGAGAGACAACAAGAAATGACAGTGAAGTATGTGAGGAACTCAACAAGAGATTCAAAGAAGTGTTCACAGAGGAGACAGAAGGGGCTCCAGAAAGACGGAGAGGTGGGGCACACCACCAAGTGCTGGACACAGTACAAACAACCGAGGAAGAAGTGAAGAGGCTTCTGAGTGAGCTAGATACCTCAAAGGCAATGGGGCCGGATAATATCCCTCCATGGGTCCTGAGAGAGGGAGCAGAGGCACTATGTGTACCCCTAACAACAATATTCAATACATCTATCGAAACAGGGAGATTGCCTGAGGCATGGAAGACAGCAAATGTAGTTCCAATCTTTAAAAAAGGAGACAGATATGAAGCACTAAACTACAGACCAGTGTCACTGACATGTATAGTATACTAAGTCATGGAGAAGATTATCAGGAGAAGAGTGGTGGAACACCTAGAAAGGAATGATCTCATCAACAGCAGCCAACATGATTTCAGGAATGGGAAATCCTGTGTCAATAACCTACTGGAGTTCTATGACATGGTGACAGCAGTAAGACAAGAGAGACAGGGGTGGGTGGATTGCATTTTCTTGGACTGCAAGAAGGCATTTGACACAGTTCCACACAAGAGATTAGTGCAAAAACTGGAGGACCAAGCAGGGATAACAGGGAAGGCACTACAATGGATCAGGGAATACTTGTCAGGAAGACAGTAGCGAGTCACGGTACGTGGCGAGGTGTCAGAGTGGGCGCCTGTGACCAGCGGGGTCCCACAGGGGTCAGTCCTAGGACCAGTGCTGTTTCTGGTATTTGTGAACAACATGACGGAAGGAATAGACTCCAAAGTGTCCCTGTTTGCAGATGACGTGAAGTTGATGAGAAGAATCCATTCGATCGAAGACCAGGCAGAGCTACAAAGGGATCTGGACAGGCTGCAGACCTGGTTCAGCAATTGGCTCCTGGAGTTCAATCCCACCAAGTGCAAAGTCATGAAGACTGGGGAAGGGCAAAGAAGACTGCAGACGGAGTACAGTCTAGGGGGCCAGAGACTACAAACCTCACTCAAGGAAAAAGATCTTG